CTAAGGACATTCACATGTAGATTCTTTTTATCTGTTTATTGCAACATAAAAGCTGGATGAGAAGTATCACACAGTAATAGCAGTATTAAAACAGTCCATATTGAAAACATGTTACGGTTTTCTAGAAAACCTATAGCTTAGAAAACCTATAGCTTAGAAAACCTATAGCTTGCAAGAAACATTCATGTGATAGCAAGGCACCATCCTAATCAGCTGTGGTCATAAAAACTGCCCACTCCATAGCAGTAAGTAACAAAGGGGCGATGATCCAGGTGGCATTATTGACTCAATATGGCCATATTTGGTCAACGACATTATCGGTATATATGCAAATATATATTCAGGCTAGCTGATATACCAATCCAGTAGAGGGTATCTTTGAAATATTTGATTTTAATTATCTATGTGTACTACCTGTTTTTTTTATATTAGGAGATTGTATTCACAATATACTTATCTTGTTTTATAAGTTATGTCTTGTGGTGTGTGCCTATAAAGTATGATTTTAGGAGCTGGTGGAGATCTTTACTCTCCTCCAGTCTATTTTCCTTTTTTTTGCTGATCAGGCTAGTCATAGAAGTCCTTTATTTGCATTCTTGTTCACAGTCATGTACTCAGTATTTTATTTCACAAGTAAGCATGGCAATATAAACTTCAATTTTAGTAAAATATTAACGTTATGTAATTACTATGACATTCTTACTGAGGAAGACATGGTGCCATTGCCACGTAATGTGTTTTAAAAGTTTTCCAAATTAAGGAAAAATTAATAAATCAAAAACAAAAAGTGTACTGTAGATAGCATGCCAGTGGGAAGTTTTATATAAAGACATCTTGTTTAAAGGCACTTTTGTTAAAAAAACAAAAACATAAATAGAACAGCTTTTTCAAGTTGTGTGGGGTAAGTGTGATTTTATAAGAGCTTTGTTTTATATTTCATTGTACAAGATGCTGGACACAACAGCTGGTAATAATAATAAGAACATGTGTACACAGCTGCCAAAAAAGTGTATCTCATTGAAAAGTGAAAATGTAGCCAAGTGTTATGCAGTCATGTGTTGGAAATAACCCTCGCTGAGGGACAGCTAAGTGTTTGGCTGAACTGGCAGGTATGAGCAGTTCATAAGTCCCAAACTACTGAACTCCAGCCAGCATATTGTGAGCACCCAACTCAACTCTAAAGTGATATTAAATCCAAAACCAAAGATGTAATATATTGCAGCTTACCAATCATTAGATGTGGTGGCTGCATCCATTTTCTTAGACTTTATTTCCTCTGTTTTCACCTGTTGATCTGGTCAGTAACACACCTCCTGTATTAGAGTGCCCCCTCTCTGTTCGAAGGAGCACAGGGGCCACCTTTGGACAGCAGCATTGTCAGTCTGGGGGGAGGGCGAGTGTTAGATGTACTAGCAGATCTAAATACACTAACAAATTGAAGCCAAACTCCAGATAACACTTTTATAATCAGTTAGGGCTCGTTCACACTTGGCTGTTTTACCAACACTTGCCAAACGCCCCTATAGCGTTTGGCAAGCGTTGGTCCGGCGTTTGCAGAGCGTTTTTTAATGCTCGGCAAACGCTCCGCAAACGCCGCATGCGCAGTTTAGCGACGGTTGCTAGGCGTTTGCTGAGCATTAAAAAACGCCCCACAAATGCCTATAATGCAGTTTGAATGGTGTTACCGCTCCGCAAACGCCCCGCAACCGCGTCACAACCGCACCGCAAATGCCGGCCGGGCTTTTGCAGAGCGGCACCATAGACTAGAATAGGAGGCTTGAACGCTTCCTGACTCGACCAGAGGCGTCCCTTTTGCGGTGACGCGACGCAAACGCTCTTGTTAGAAACAGCACCATGTGCTGTAATGTGAAGAATTGGCAGAGGCGTTTGGGAAGCAGTAAAAATGCTTCCCAAACGCCTCTCTGCCGCCTGCACACAACGCTAGTGTGAACGTAGCCTTACTGCAAACAGTTTTTTTTTTTTTTTTTTTGAGATAAAGGTATTACAAAAATAAAAGCTGATCATTCTAAGCACCTCTGCTAGTGTTAAATGGTTTTCCTCATCTCTGTAACTTATGCATACTGCTGGAGAGCTTGTTCTTTTGAAAAACAACATACTTACTGTTAGATCACCAGATGAAAAAAGAAGGAAGAAAGAAAGCCTAAACAAGAAAATAAATGCAGCCATCATATCTAAGAATTGGTAAGCTGCAATATAATAAATGTTTGTTTGGGGGTTTAATACCACTATTACTAGAGCAACAAGGAGAGTGTTGTCATTTTATTTGTTTTTAGTTTGTGCATGTGCAACCTGACTGCCAATCAAGCACTAGAGGGTGCCTTCTATACAGCTGAGTTGAAGTAAATTTGGGATTCTATTTGTAATGCAGGTTCACTTTAAATATTATAAATTTGAGGTCAGTATCATGGCACTGTTCTACTAAAGTCAGCAACTCAATTTATTTTAAAAACGACTACCGAAAAAAGGCAAGTGTTGTCTGGCATTTGTTCACTTCAGAACTGTTTGAATGGTCTGAATGATATTATTCTCCATTACTAAAGAATCTTTGTGTATGCAATTTGTGCCTAGTTTTCAGCAAATGCAGGTGTTATTTGGAGATGGACTGCACAGCTTTCCTGTCTCTTAATAGCTGGTCATATCACACACCTAGCTCACTCTTTTAGCATGTCTACAATGTACCTGGGAAGTACCAGTGCATTGTGGTGGCCAGGGAACCCACCCAATCTTTCCCTAAACAGACTTCAGAGGCCTCTAAAGACAGGCATCCAGACACCAAACAAAGGCAATCTTCCTGTAGAGTCATCTACTACATCAGTGGTCTCTAAACTGCGGCCCTTTGCTTGCCTTTATTTGGCCCTTGGGACACTTTTTCTCTCATTGATGCAGGACGCTAATCCTCTACCTGCCACCAACAATGGGGCATAATTCCCGTTACTGACATCAACAGCAGGGCAATAGTTCTCCTATTGACACCAATGATGGGGCACTATTCCTTGCACTGACGCCCACTGACACCAACAATGGGACACCATTTCTCCCACAGACACCAGCGATGGGGAACTATTCCACCAGCTGACACTAACGATGGTACAATTTTCCTGACCCTAATGCCAGAGATGTTTACTCCCACTGACGTCACCTCAATTTCTTCTCCCAATGGCCACAGTCCAGCCCCCCTAAAGTCTGAAAGACCGTAAAATGCCCCTTTGTTTACAAAGTTTGGAGACCCCTGTGTAATGTAATGCAGGGCTCTCACAAAGTTGTGTGTGTGTGTGTGTCAGCCATGTTGTTCGGAATTCTCCCATGACAGTTTGTAACACAGCAGATAGCTTCCTCAGGAAGCCATCTGGCACAATACACAACTGTTAACTGATGCCAGGACTTTCTTATCATTCCATTGGTCAGACACACACGAATGTCTCCATTACCCAATCCTCAACTTCAGCCTGGAAACCCTAATAAAACTGTCACCCTCCAAGCTTATGTAATCCAGAGAACTAACAGATATCCAGTCAGAAATGGCCTAGCTGCAGGGAATAGCAAATCCACATTTCTGCTAGAATGGTTAGCAGCCAAGATTCTAAGGGCTCATGTACACGGGGCATTTGGAAAACTCTTCTGACCACTGGAAACTGACTGCTAGAAAATGTAGGTTAAAAAACGTCAGTTTAGCCACGCTTGCATACCGAGTTTATGCGCGTTTGTGTTTAGAAGCGTTTTTAAAAGATAACCTCAGGAGACCCTCCCAAATGCCCAGAATGCACTAAAAATAGTAATTAACTATTTCGAACATTTTGAGAGAAATAGAAAGAGCAGAAGCAGAAAGAGCAGTATGTGTTGAAATTACCTATCTTTTCTGGTTGTATTCACTATGGGTCCCATCATGAGCATAATGCAGCACGTTCTACCATTTTTTTTCTTCATGCGAAACCTGGAACTGACTGCGCTGGTGTACTAGCCCATTTGAATACATGGAAAATGCTTTGCATGCATTTTTGATGAAGAAAAAAAGGCTCCTGACAGCATCTGGATATAGACCTGTCAAAAAAACGTGTCTAAATGCAAATGCTTGTAAATGTGGTTAACTGCATTTACAACCGTTTGGTGTTTGAAATGCCGGTAAAATATATTCGACCGCAATTTTTTGGTGCGTTCAAAAAAATGACTGTAAAGTCATCTTCCTGTAAATGACTGTAAATGATTGTGTACATGGACACATAGGAAATCATAAAGGAGAGTTCAGTGGCTGCTGAAAAAAAATGCTCAACAGCTCCTGAACGTCAGTTTAGCAGCTGCAGTGTTCATGAGCCCTAAAACTTCAGTATATTTCATAACTATTGAAATACAGTACAAAGGGCACAGCCATAGTACGGACATATTTCCCTCAGTTAATTTGTAGTGTTTTGAACACAAACACCCCTATGCTAGGAGGTACCAGAGTGGATTAGACCTCCACACCCCTTCTATGAGAAATAGATATCTGAGACCTGTCCTATCTATATCCATTCTGAAGCTAATTTCATGCTGGACAATAATCTGCATGGTAGCAGACTGTAAACGGTAGGTATTCAGAAATATGAATACTTATAAGAAACTGTATTTGGGACTTGGTCATAAATGTGGTAAACAGTGTGTGTGTGTGTGTGTGTGTGTGTGTATACAGACATTTATTTTTCATATTTGTTCTTAAGAATGTGAGTTTCCTCCTTTTCAGTCAAAAGGTGGTGATGGTATCTTTACCTCTTCACGCCGGCCGAATGCAAATGTGCGGCCTCCCGGTGTCTGGGCCTAGACATCGAGCGGCCCGCACATTTGCGTTCTATTAAAAAAGGACATATTGCTCTGTGGCTGCTGACACCTAGATTGTGGTCCCACAAGCTGGAAAATCTTTGTGCAGGGAGCAGCTGAGAGTGGCATTGTTACGTGGCAGCTCAGTGTGAAATTGGCCAGTCCTTTGTTACGAGTTGGTGAGAAGGGCAGGGGTCACCGCGTTCGTCACACCCTGTACTACATGAACCATCCCATCCTAGTCTACAGGCAGGTTCGGACTGACAACTCATGGGGCCCCCGGGCAATAGGGGATCATGGGGCCCCTGTGTCCTCGCCCACAATCAAACCACACCCAAAAAAGCCTATGAAAGGTACCAGGGGCATCTCATGGGGCCCCCTACTGACCCCGGGCACTCAGGCAGTGCCCGAATGGTCAGTCCACCCGTCTACAGGTACATGCTATCCAAGCCTATACCCTGGGTGCGCTGGAGTTATTCACAACATACAAAATCAAACAAATCTCTTTCTTGCATTTCTTGAAATATGTTACAAATGTATCATCAGGTTGCCTTCATACAGGCAATCAATGAATATTAAAGTGTTACTAAACCCACAACAGTAAAATCAGTCTGTATATGCAGTAAAAGCATGCATGTTATACTCACTATGGCACCTAAGGGGTTAATCCTCTTCATTGTGTAAAAATGCTGTTTGATCCTGAGTTCTCTGATCCTCCCCTTTTTCCAGTGTCTACCTCTTATCTCCTGATAAGACATATCGTGTGAAGACACTCTGCACATGCTCAATTTGGTGTGTATTGCTAGAGAGGGGTTTTTTTTTTTTGGGAGAGTGTATGTGATCAGCACAGAGCCAATCAGAACTGCCAGACAGATGTCAGGGGTTCTACATCCTCCTAAAGAAAACTCCTCCTACACGCTTTAAGCAGTGCTCTGCTGAACACTGATAGAAGTCACAAGACTGCTCTAAATGCTGATGAGAAAAGGTATTTAGCAGTTTATATTTACTAAAATAATTGCACTTCCATGTTGTGTGTACTGTGGGAGACCACTTAGAGTGAATGCAGGGTCCTGGGTTTAGTAACACTTTAATTGTGTTAATAGTTTATTTTGTTTTGTGAGTGTCCTGAGCCCCTAATTGTGTGAGCAATAAACTTATTTATTTTCCTGTTCTTAAGTGACTGGCACCCATCTGTTCACATCCCACCGTGCCTAACAATCTACACCCTGAGGTGAAATGTAAGCCCACCCTGTCTCTGGGGGTCGCCATCATGACTCCAAGGGTCGGGGGGGGGGGGGGGGGAACTGGAATGCTCAGAAATGAGCAGCAAATGGTGAAGGCTCATTGCTGATCTTTAAGCACAAAATTCCTGTTGCAGCTTACAAGTCAGTATTCTCTGTGATACTTTTTATTTGAACTGTCCATTAATTATTCATGACTAACATTAAGGGGTCTTACAAAGTCCCAAAAAGTCTCACGGACAGTAGTCAGCGTGTTGCAAGTAATTGATAAGGCTACAAATACCTTATGCTGGTAGCGGAGAATGAGTTATTATATAACTTGGTATTACTGCTGGCATACTTGGCACAAATTTTCCTGATGGTTTATAGGCATCCTGTGCTAGTAAAGGTATCCAGAGCTGGTGATTTTTTAGTTTTACTATAATATAGTCCCAAATGACAGCACATTATTATAATAAAGCTGAGAATTTTCCCTACATCTTATATCAATGCATAAAAAATATAATTAGGCAGTGTGGCCCATTTAAAGGAATCTGTGGAAGAAATCTTTTTTTTTTTTTTTTTTTTTTAATGGGAAGGAGGTTTAGTGGTATTCAGTTTTATGTGGAGGTAAAGGAGTAGCATAATTTAAAAAAACCATAGGCCCTATTGTGCTGTATCTACCAAGAGAAATATAAAACTGGAAAGCCCTGTACTTGGATTTTATTTCAGTGGTAGTCAATAATATAATGTCTAAGTCAGAGTTTCACAGCACACTTTTGTTGTGAACACTTTTATTAAATTATTAATAAAATATTACTGTTATTATGGAAACGGGATGCTCAAATGAAGAACATGAAGAAGGGTTCAGGCAACCTTGGTTCTTTCTTTTACAAAGTGTGTAATGTTTACTGGATCCCAGCAACAGCTGACAAGTTCAGAAAGGATACTGTATACAAAATAATATATGCTGTATATGTCATGAAACTTTCACTTTCTGAGTGAGGATAATGCCTAAGTCAGAGTTTTGCTTTGCCATTGGGGAATTCAGCCTTCACATGGTCTTTCCCCAGTGACATCCCATCTCCAGCACACAGTTTGCTCTTTGCCCAGTGAAATCCCACACACACACACACACACATTTTTTTTCCAGCACACACTATCCAGTATCTCCTCCAAATACTCCACAGTCCAACACTCTGACCATACAAATTGTCTATTAAACACAGTCTATATTCTCCCCATTGACATTGCACACTGAGCCCAGATATAGTCTGGAAGTTCAGCACTTGGTGTTTTATTAGGACACAGTGGCCTTTCACCCTGTAATTTGTTCCCAGCACACACACATCAGTCCCCATATCCATACCAGCATGAAGATGCCCCTCTAGTACACAGAGCTCTCTATAACACTAGAAAGGTATGTGCATTAAGTTATTAGTGACTAGTCTGCAGTGTATTGTCATTCAAAGTGTGAGAAAATTGGCCTGGGCAGGAAGGGGGTAAAAGTGCCCGGTATTGAAGTGGTTAAAGGGTGCCTCGGGACTATCCATAATTTCAAAGGGTGCCTTGACTGAAAAAAAGGTTCAGAAACACTGGTCTAAGGAACAGGTGTTGAGGGGTTGTCAAATATGCTGGGGACAGGACACTGAGGGGGTTATGCATGTGAGCTAAGGGCTGGGTGTTAAGGGGTTAATGCTTATATGCTGGGGACAGAATGCTGAGGGGTTAATGCACACAGACCAGTGTTTCTCAACCTTTTTTTCAGTCAAGGCACCCTTTGAAATTATGGATAGTCCCGAGGCACCCTTTAACCACTTCAATACCATGCTTTTTTACCCCCTTCCTGCCCAGGCCAATTTTCAGCTTTCAGCGCTCTCACACTTTGAATGACAATTGCGCAGTCATGTATTTAACATTGTACCCAAACTAAATTTTTATCATTTTGTTCACACAACTAGAGCTTTCTTTTGGTGGTATTTAATCACCGCTGGGGTTTTTTATTTTTTGCTAAATAAACAAAAAAAGACTGAATATTTCAAAAAACAAAACATGTTTTTCTTTGTTTCTGTTATAAAAAGCTTGCAAATAAAAAATTGTTCTTAATTTAGGCCAAGATGTATTCTGCTACATGTCTTTGGTGAAAATAACCCAAATCAATATTTATTATTTAGTCTGTAGGAAAGTTATAGAGTTCACAAACTATGGAATATATCTGAAAATTGATCAATCCTGAAGTACTGACAGCCAATCTAATTTCTTGAGGCCCAAGAATGTCAGAACAGTACAGATATCCCCCAAATGACCCCTTTTTGCAAAGTAGACAGTCTAACATATTTCATAAAAGGCATGGCAAGTTTTTTGAAGTTGTAATTTTTTTGCCATAATTTTTTGGAAAATGAAGAAATTAAAACTTTTCACTTTTGTTTTTACATACTGTCACCAGTACAGTGTCATCATATAACTGGTGTGGTGGTGATCAGGGACATTGATTGGTGACCATAGGAAAAAAATAAATTGATATTTTCCTTTTAAATTTTATTATTTTTTTTATTAATTGTTTCTCTTTTTTTTTAAGATTTTCTTTTCATATTACACTATGACTAAAGTAGTATAATGTTACCATAGTAACATTGTACTACTTTAAGGATTTGATCAGTATTTTATTTTTTTTTAACACAATTTGCTATAAGCAAGCATTTTTTTTTGTGATTAGCTGTGATTGGCCACAGCTAATCACATGACACAGATGGACTGTGAATAGCCCAGCCTGTCCATGTGATCACTGTGACCATTCACAGCTAGACACACTTGTACACAATGGATGGCATGAAAGGAAACCATACATTGTTTACAACTGTCATGTGACCTGTTGTGATTGGTCACAGCAAGTCACATGGTACTGGCAACGGGGCCGGTACACATCTGTCATCAGCAGTGTCCGAGGCACACAACTTGTGACAGATCTTGCCACAGTGTGGCCCTCCGAGCACGCGTAAGGTTTGATCCGGGAAGGTCATCATATGATGCCCTTCTGGATCAACGAGAGTCCCGCATGGCCGTCATTTTACTATTGGCCGGGCAGGAAGTGGTTAACATTATGGACAGTCTTGAGGCACCCCATTCTAAAATGTGCAAAACGATTCTAATAGTTTTATATAACGCAGGAACATCCACACACGTAGGACTCCCAACATTAGAGGCGATTTATTCTTCTAAAGCAAATACACTTTTGCATACTGGTACTGACCAATATTCCAATGTTTCTCTTCTCCCACAGTTTTTCTCCATCACTGAGCTAATGTGACCCCAGCACTGATGGAGAGGGGCAGGGGAGTGTCAAAACTAGGATGCTGTGCAGGCAACCAGGATGTGTCAGGACGCTGGCGGTTAGAAGGTAGTATAGGTGCACAATGAAAACCTGTGGCTTTCTGTCACTAAAAGACAGGCTTTTAGTGGGCATCCTGGTTGAGAAAGGCTGCCTCAGACCATATACACTGTATCTGCAGCACTCAGTCCAAAGGCAGGTATATTATCCCTTTAGCTTCCAGTACCCATCCTATGTAGGTTAACCCTCCAGCACTCAGTACCCAGTGTATGTGCTTTAATCTCTCAACACCTATTCTACTTATGTGCATTAATTGCTCAGCTGTCTGTGGGCGGAGCCGCCTCTTCCATGTATGGTAGCTTTCATGTGTGCATGCTTGTCAATGTGTGGGACCAGGTGGGGCCATGTTCATGTGCAATATTATGGCAGTGCCCTGAGTTAGAGATGAGCCGTGTGCAGTGTTAGATGTACAGAATCTCTCTGTGAAACATGCTGTCCTGTGTTACTACATACTCTGTCTCTGTGAGTTGTTTCATTTAGGAGGGTCACCCCTAAGTCCGTGCCCTCTCCAACTGTCTAGCATACCTCTGTCACCTCACTCCTAGTGACTGAATGGGGTCCTGCTGTAGACCTAGTGCCGACCACATGTGTGCACTTAGTTAACTGCTTCTGCTCTCCCGCTCCATGCATGCGGCCTAGCCATGGGTCTCTGTAACATGGTCCTGTTACTTTTGGGAAACCGGCTGCTGGGGAGGGAGTCAGAACATTGACCCCCTCACTACAGGAGGATCCATCGCCTGGCCAGGTACCACTCTGACAGGCTGCTGTTCACATCCTACCAGACCTTGGTTACTGTGGCAACTTCTGACCACCTTAACCCTTCACAATGGCCTTGCTACTGTTCCCTGTGTGCTTTACAGACCCTGTTCTTTCATACGCCAGGAATCATCATGTACCCAGGGAGGGTGCTAGACTATTTTGCACCCAAGGCAAGACCAGCTACTTGTACCCCCCCCCTCCAAAAAAAAAAAGAAAAAAAAGCTGAGTGGGCTGACTGGGGAGCTGGGATTCATTGATATTCTACAAGAAGCTGCAGTGACTTGTGGGCGTGGTTTAAATTACGCTAAATATTGGGTGTGGGTTAAAGGGATTGTGGTTAGAGTTACTTACATAGTGCAGGATGGAGATGACTGCGGCGTGCAGGATGGAGATGACATGGTAGATGACTGTGTACAGGATGGAGATGACATGGTAGAGGACTGTGGTGCAGGATGGAGATGACATGGTAGAGGACTGTAGTGCAGGATGGAGATGACATGGTAGAGGACTGTAGTGCAGGATGGAGATGACATGGTAGAGGACTGTGTGCAAGATGGAGATGACATGGTAGGTGATTGTGTCAGGGAAGCAAATGAATTACCTGAGTCCTCTGGCTTGGTTGGTTTGCCTGCTTGGGCTGGCTCTGCTGGCCTCCACTGACCGGTTAGACTCAGGCTTGCTCTGGATTCCACCACACTCGCTCCAGATCTCTCTCCTCTGGCAGGGCTCTCTCCACACGTATCTGTGTCACCGTCTTGTGACAGTACATCCCTGCTCCTCCTTGCTCTGGCCAGGTCCACAGCAGCCGCTCTTCACACTCCAGGCTGTGTGGACCTTATGATGGGTCCACTGTTCGGACATCATAGCTGCACCCTCCTGTACCTCTCCACATGCTCCCCCAACTGATCTGCTTAAGGTGGGCTGGCATCCCATGGGTAGCTATGCACCCTCACTCAGCACCAACCAAAGGGCAAATAAGGTGGCAGCACCTGACTTACTGGAGGAAGTAGGGGGAGGGATCTCTCTGACTGTCTGTGTGTTTCTGTTTTGATTCACCCAGGCGCCACAATCCTCGTTTTAACTGGCATGTCAGAGTTGTCCAGTCTGCCTAATTTACCTAGTGCTAGCACTGGCCTTGCATGCACCCCTTTAGAGTAACTTTAGACCAGGCTTGGGATTGGTTTACTGTCAACCTCTCATGGCATTACAATCACAGACACAACATAGTCTAAATAGGTGTCAAAGTGGCGGCCCTCCAGCTATTGCCAAACTACAAGTCCCATAAGGCATAAACAGGTGCAAGTCCATAACTGGTGTTCTCAAATAGCTGGTAGTGTCCTCCAAAACTCCAATATTTTATGGGATTACATGGCTCCATGTCCCGTGCTGACTTCCCTTATAGCTCCCTCCAACTCAGTACTTCTGAACTCCACTCCAGGCTTTCTGCACTCCCTGGACTGAGCCTTTCCCTTATTTAAGAGTACCACAGGGTGGAGGTCAGGCATAGAAAAAGCAAACCAAGATCCCAACAGTTAATCCCAGCCTGGGCAGACCAACTAACTGCACTAAATACAACACTGTAGGCACCGATCTATATGTCAGTACTCAGCACATGTGCACTTACCCCTCAGCAGCCAGTCATCAGCACTAGTGTTAACCCTCTGCAGAGTCAGTACAGAGCACATATGTGATAACCCTTTGGTGCCCATTGCATGTACGTTAACCATCAAGCACTCAATCTCCAGTGTTTATTATGATAATCCTTCACATTTACTTAGTGCACCATGCCAAATATCAATCTCCTGTCCACTGACTCTAGTTCAGATTATCTCAGCTCCACTGTTTCATTTACTGAACAAACATTCCCTGCCAACAATGCCCTGTTGCACCTCCCAATCCCCAGCAATACCTCCACTGACACAGTCTCTAATGACCTGCTTACATTTTGGTATCTCCATTTCAACCTCCATTGCCCCAAATTCCACTCACACACTCCTCCTGTTTTTAATCTGGCACCATTACAGTCTGTGGAGCACATCAGTGGAGGTAGATGGGAGTGTCAGTAGTTATGCAGATGACCATATTACT